CAACAGTAAAAGTATGGGACTTAGTCGCCCAATCTAGTAGCATCCTTAAACTCACATAGTCTGGGTACCATAAAAAGGAGACATGGAGAAAAAGAACAAAGAAATTCTGCTATTTTTACTTTTCAGTTGTTTGATTTTCATTGGTTAATCATGTTTCACATGCATTTGAGCGTCTTGGGTATGACGATAAACTACATCCGCGTCCTGGGTATGATGATAAGCTACATCTGTGTCCTGGGTATGACGATAAACTACATCCGCTATCTGGGTAAGACGATAAACTATGTCCAACAGCAAGGCTTCTGATCAGGAGGTTTTGAGAAGTGTGCTGGTGTTCCCAGGTCCACCCTGACCTGGGTTGGTAGCACCTGTTAGGGTCCCAGCTATGGGCAAATAGTTAACCCTGAAACTGAGGTAAAAAGCATTATAAAAGTGTAAAAATAGGTTTTAATCCCTTTTCTTTTTGTCTGGACAAATTGATTCTATTTATTAAAAAAAATTCAGTCTAAGGAGATGAATATTTTGATATTCATGAAATAAATTATAAACAAATGGATTTCTAAGGTTCGTCTGTAATCATTGTTATATTGTTCTGTTATTTACATTGAGCTCTTTTTAGATTAATGTCCTCCTTAGAGTTATCCCTACCAATTATCAATTGGCTATATATATATATATATATATATATATATAGCCACCTTGAGGAGCTGTGATACAATGAAACAGTCTGTGAGTGGATGTCTATATATAAATGCTCCCGGAAATTCGGTTGAGCTCTCTAGGGAAAGGGGGTTTTAAAAAACAGCGGCTCCTGCTGCTATTAAGCATTACTCTTCAAGTAAATTGAATCAAGTTCTCTGAGCTGCTGGCGTATTTTGTATAGAGAAAAATGTTAAAATTCCTTTTCTTTCTGCCATGCGATGATGGCCTAGACCTAAGATATTTGACTGATGTCAAATCAGTTGGGTTTCGATCCTGGCTCGATGCAATCTGACATCTAACCACACTGAGGAGCTGTGATACAGTGAAACAGTCTGTCTGTGGATGACATTTATATTTAATCATTAAGTGTGGGTACGTATTTCGAATTTTAAATTTGTTGTCAACAATTTGCATTTCTTTTGCGGAATATGACTATGACATCTTGTAACAATTCAATCAATTTATCAGACCATCTGATGAATGATGAATGATGTTATGTGAAACTCTGGAATTGGTTAACAAGATAAGTCCTTTGAACTCTTACTTATATGTGTGTGTGTGTGTTTTGAACAATAAAAAATATTTAAATTTTCAGACACACTGGGTTGTATAATAATATTTTTGTTTTATTATTTCAATTAGGTTCTTCGACTAGTTTAGGCCAGCATGGCCATCATCAGGAGAAAAAATCCATGCTTGTTAGTAGCAGTGAAAGACAGGACTCAATGACTGTTTCTGAAGAAAGTGAACTTGTTTTTTTATTGTTAATTTTGGTCAGTCCTTGTGTTGGTTAAACGGCCTCTTTCAAGTTGTTTTTAAGATAGAGGATTGGAGATTCTTGACTTTAAGAATTCCCTCCTTGGTCATTTTGACAGTTTTATTGGCTGCTGGGAATGGGATGTGTGTGTTATATTTTAGTTCTTTGAGAGTGTGTGTATAAGAGTGAGACCTGAACACCTCTGCAAGCATGTCTGTCTTGTGTGGGTGAGGAAGAACTATATATATATATATATATATATATATATATATATATATATATATATATATGTATCCATCCTTAGGTGCCATGTGTGATGCATGATTGGGCAATCATAGCTTGTCAATTCCTGATTGACGTGGCAAAAGAATTCAAATAGTAAACTGCTATTACTGTCTGCAGTAGATTGCACCCCCCAATATATTTATGTATTTAGTATGTCAACTTTTAGGGCTATGGTGTAGAGTAATTACAATGTTAGTATTCAGACTATGAGTTCCAGTTTGAGATTTCACCCTGGTCCCGATTTGTCAGGAGGCTGACTTCCTGATAATAGCCAGGGAAGATTGATTTGTCTGTTTAACAGCATATCAACTCCTTAGGGTTCATTTAATGCTAAAATTTAATGTTCTTGGGAGCTTTGGAGTAATAAAAATGATATGCTATTCTGCTTTCACAATTGAATATATGGTAGATAATACTCAGCTTTTGTTCTTATAGATGTTTGTGTGGACATAATTACTAGAGGCGGTGAAATGTGTGTTTTATGTTGTAGTTTTGTTGATGTTAATGAATTAATGTCATGAAAGTGCATCTTTCATGTTGGTTGGTCGATTTTTTTGCGGTATATCAACACCTCTATGGGTTATTTAATGTCAAAATCTAATTTTGAACAATTTTATAGCTGCAACTAAATATATTTTGAATGCAATTATATGCCTTCTATAAAATGTATTGTTGGTAATTTTACTCTAAAATGTATTGGTCATTTTGCTATAAAATGTATTGTTAGTCATTCACTATTTTCCCATAGCTGGGACCCGAACAGTTGTTACCACCTCAGGTCAGAGGTCAGAGGTCGTGTCGGGTCAGTATCAGAGACATGCTGTCAGATGTATTTTATTGTCATACCCAGGACTAATCAGGAGAGACAATCTCAGTATGTGTCACCATTGTAAAGTGCCTGAAAAGCATACTACTACTTGATCCAAGCCTTGTGACTGAAATTGTCTAGACAAAGCAATTTTGAAGTCATTGATGAGAAAACTTAAGAAAGAACATGTGTCCTCTGGCAGGAATCAAACCTTTGTGGGAGAAACCATCATGTGAATGCATGTGCTTTGACCACTCAGCTATGGCCAAATGCAAATATTTTTCTTGCTTGACTGTGAAGTTCTCCATAGCTGAGCTGTGAAACCAAGTCAGATTGCGTGTGTCCAAGCAACTCAAATACTTGTTTCAAATACTTCAAATAATGAATATATCTTACTTTGTGAAGTGACAGTGAGCGAGCAAAGTCTGCTAGTATATATATATATATATATATATATATATATATATATATATATATATATATACACTTCAAGCAGATATGATTGTTTGAGAAAAAAATTGTGGTAAATTTGTTAAAAAACAGTAATTTGACTTTGCTAACAAGATGCTTCCTCTGTATCTAAATGGTATAGCATGCCAGGCCAAATGATGGTTTCGTGTAGGATACAGGTTCAATTCCTGTCAGAAGACACATATTTCCTATGAAATTTCTCCAAATGACCCTCCGCAGGTTTTAAATTCAGAGTTGTCCTTCTCCTAGACCAGTTGCAATCCAAAGCTATAGAACCCAGTCTGTCCTGCTATTTACCCATAGCTAGAGGGAGAAGAAGAGGATTCATATCTTTCCCAAGGGTATTAGAATGTAATGTTTGTATTGGAGCTTCCACTGTGAATGCTAAGCAGTACAGCATGACGTTTCCAAATTTCTGGTCGAGCGAATTGTGTGATGGTGCTCTTTTTCTCACAGATGGTGCCCAACTGACCCTACTATACTGTGCTGTTGACAAACTCAAAAACAAACAAAGCACATGCATAAAATTTAAACTATAAAATGGTGACAATTTACCCATCGCACCCTGTATGAATAAAGGAAAAAGGAATATTTATCTTAGCCAATGCGTATTGTCCTCTGTACTGGACTCTGACAAAGCAAATGTAAAGATTTTATTTTGCAACAAGTATTTATAAATAAAAATAAAAATGTTAGGTTTTCAAAATTTTTAATTTACAAATGCTCTATTTTAAATAATAGATGGTTATGAATTTAACTGTATTCTTTAAATTTAACAATTTTGTTTTCTTCTGAAAGTGGCTTGGGAATGGAGTAATTCTTTCAGCAATGGATATATTTGAAATATTTCTATTGTTTAAAATATATAATTTAATCCCAAACTAAAATAATATAAATATTAATTAAATTAAAAAAAAATATATTTACTCACCTTTGTTAGACATTAAATTATGTCATCACTTTGGTGAGTAGAGACTCTGAAAGAGACAATGTGCAGTTTATTTCCACCTGGAAACTATATTGTTTATGCTGGAATTGAGGAAATTAAGCACAGGATATACTGTATTTGTCTATATTTCTGAAATGAGGTATTATGTATACTTGGACTATTGTCCTCATCTTTGTCACCATGTTTATCACAATATTTCAGCTGTTGTATGCTCTTCAGGTGGTTGGAATGTCGAATTGAACCCTTTATTTCGCTCACTGGGTTAGATTGTTCTAGTTCCACGTGCCATTTCTAATGGATATCAGTTATCTCCTGTTAATTCCCCTCTGAAAGTTCTCCACTGCCTTAACCAGGACAGGACCCAAAGAGTGTGAGTTCAATATCTGGTTAAGGCAGTGGAGGACTTGAATTCACTTCCTGTCCTGGGTATGATGATAAACTATGTCTGCGTCCTGGATAAGATGATAAACTACCTCCAACAGCTGATCAGGATGTTTTAAGGAGTGTAGAACCACCTCTTAATTGCTGATGTCCACCCTGACCTGGAGTGGTAGGACCTGTCAGGGTCCCAGTTATGGGTAAATAGTTAACCCTCAAACTGGGGTCAAAACACTATTAAAATGTAAAAATAGGTTTTAATACCATCAATACATTTTTGGAAAAAAATATTAGCATCAATACATTTAAAAAAAAAAATATTACCAGCAATAAAAATCTTGTTCACATTAAATAACCCATTAAGGTTGATATGCCATAAAATAAAACGAACCAAACCAAACCATGAATCCACTTCTCCCCCTAGATATGGGTTAATTAGCAGTATGTGTGTCAGTAAATCATTATCATCTCCCCCAAATTCTTAGAATCTAAAAATATTTTCTAGCTTTAAATAACCTGCAAAAGGTTGATATGTTGTAAAAAAAAGCAATCAACTGTATTGCTATATATGTATATGTTTGTTTTATTGATTTAATTTGGTAATTTTTTGGTAATTTTTTTTCTCTTTTTTTTTTTTTTTTTTTTGGCAG